AGCGTTGAGGGCGGTGCGGCCGAGGATGATGTTATAAGCAGAGGGACAATCGGCGATGAGGAAAGTGAGCAACTTGGTGGTCTGACGTGGATACTCTCCGATGGTGATGGGAAGATCGATGGAGCCTATAGAGGTCACCCGATCCCCAGTGAAGCCGACCAGTAGGGTTTAGAGAGGGGACAAACTTTCTTCCCCTACCTTGAGCTGGTGGCCTGCAAAAAGGAAAATGATGTCTGAAGAGCTGTTGTTGTCGACAAGGACCAGTCTGACTTTGTAGTTAGATAGGAAAGCAGAGATGACGAGGGGGTCGTCGTAGGGATAACAGATGCCTATGCAGTTGGCCTCTGTAAAGGTGATGGGTTCAGACCATTGCTTGGGGTGTTTGAAAGGGCGATCCAATGTTGTTACTTCCTTATCGGAGCCTCGCCTGATTTTTCTGATTTCGACTCGCTATGCCGATCGAGATGGCCTTTCGCATGCGAGCCCGCCGACGATGACTCTAATCTCGCCGATCGGGGGGGGGCGAGATTGCCTTGTGCCCAGGGTTATGGTGGGAGTCGATCATTATCTCACTTAGGTTGTGCGGGTTGTTGAGGGGGAGTATGTCGGTAGTTGTCCCCCGGCGCGTCGGTCATCGGCCTTTGCTGGGGATGGGCTACCGTGAATCAACTGAGGTGCCCCTGGCGTATCAAATCCTCTACGTGGTCTTTAAAGTTAACACATTCCTCAGTGTTATGGCTGTGGTCTTGATGGGAATGGCAGTACTTGGATTGATCTCGCCGGTTGGAGGGAGATCGTGATGGTTGAGGCCATTTCAGGTTGTAGTCTCGTTGAATTTAGTTCAAGATTTGTTCCATAGGGAAATTGAATGGGGTGTATCGTTCGAACCGACCGGGTGGTCGGGTAGGTGCCGGTTGGTCTGCTCGAGCAAGTCGGTCAGTATATTGAGGGGGTTGATGTATATATTGGGAGGATCTGGGTTCGGGTTCCTTTCTTTTGTCCTTAGGGGATGGATTTTTAGGTGTGGAATCTTGGTGGGCTACCAAAGAGTCTTCGGCATTCATATATTTTTGGGCTTTGGAAAGAAGAATGGCCATGGCGGTCGAAGGGTTTTTGGAAAGGGAGAAAAAGAAATCAGATGGTCATAAACGGGCCATGAACGCTGTGAGGATGACCTTGTCATCGTTTTCCGCCATCTGTAGG